ATTATATACGTTATAATTGAAATATGATTTCAACTAATGCAAGTGAAAAAAAGCTGTCACTTTTCACCTCATAAAATATGAGTTAAGTAATAAAAGAAAAAAATTCAAATTTTGAAAAAACAAACACTGCTAAATTTATTTGTTCGATTACCAAAAATATTAAGTTATAAAAATTAATGACTGGAATAATTTAAATTGAGTTAAAAATTTTTTTGTATTTATGAAAAAAGGGACGAGAAATAAAGGAAACAATTATTATTAAATCAAATACTATCAATAAATATTTTTACCATACAAATCCAGAAATATTTTGTGATGAATCATGGCCATCGTTGCTATCATCAATTTCTGTTTTTTTCAAATTAATTTTACCAATAGGTTCGATTTCATCGAATAATTTGTAATGTATTTCATACCTGCCAATTTTCTCATTCAATACAACCATCGAGCGAAATCTGAAATTTCATTCAAATTCTTTGTGCTTCTTCTTAGCTATTAGAATCCATAATAGTAATCATTATCATATAAATTATGATTCTCTTAATTTATCCATATCTAAAAATTTTCATTTTTATTGTGAATTTAATTAGAGTTTTGCAATTTTTCATTATTTTTCACTGTCAATTCTGACATATTTCATAATCCATTTAAAGCTACTAATCAAATTTTTTTGAAATTGTTAAGCTTAAATAGGTTTGTTTATTGTTTGCTCTTTGATAGCTTCCATTTTTGTCACTTTTAAATACACGTGTCACTTATATTAGCATATTTTTCTATTTGATGTTCTACGTATGAGCACGTTATCATCTGGTATTGATCTTACAGACATATGCACGTATTACAGTACCAACCTGTATCCCCAGAGTATTTCATCTGGTAAAAATGAAGTTCGAGCTTGGAATGTCATACCGGTAGCTTCTACGATTCCTTCAACCGTCATGATAAGCTCAAAATGAGCATTATGCATCTTCTCAGGTGTCATTGCAAATAATGGACTTTGATCATCAATTAAATGCCTCACTATTATTGGCCTGAAATAATGTTTCACACCATCAAAAACCTAAAAATTTGTTGTACCAAAAACCTAAAATGTTTTTTGCTGCAAAAGCCTAAAATATTTCTTGTATCAAAAACCTAGAATTGTTTCATTCAGAATGTTTCCTTCATCGAAGGCCTAGAATATTTCTTGTACCAAAAGCCTTAGAATATTTCACGCATCAAAA